CACACTTGGCTATTTTGAGGCGGTCGAGTGGGGAAGCAAGGGACCAGCACAGGAACGGGCTTCAGAGTTATACTGAAGCTTTCTGGAGAGCCAGCTGGGAAAAGCAGAAATAAGCAGAGCCAGTAAATTGCAGTGAAGTGCCATGCAGAAGCTAAGGGAGAACAAAACAGGGCTTTTGCTGAATGTCAGACTGTCATCAGCAGTTTGAGAACACCACATATGGCATGGGCTTTAGCACACCCTTCACCTCCAGGCATAACCAGTATCTCCAGGGATTTTCAGAAGAAGATATTTTTAGAAGCAAAGTATCAGGAGCTGCCACAATACAGTGACTAAAACCAATCAACTGGACTAGAAGATGCCTTAATTCCTCATTAGAAAAACGGATTGAGGAAAAGGCGATGCTTAAAGATAAGTAGGAAATAACTATCAGTAAGTCTTCCTCAAACAGAAGCATCAGGAACAGCAGTAGGTTTCTATAGGTGGTCTTTACTTCTGGAAGTAGATGCCGAGTTGCACTATTCACATTTTGAGGCATATGGCAGTCTCCCGCTGGTACTAAATATCATTAATATTGCACAGACTTGCCTATCAATTTAGGCAGACATTGATTTGGCTCTGTGCTGATACTATGTATGGCTGTAGCTTTCATAGCACAGGTTTAGAAAGGGCCTGAATAGAGACAGGAAAGATCTGAACGTTCCAGGCATAAATCAAGGAAAGTATCTATCCTTATTGTGTCCTGTGCCAGGGCCTTGACAATACTTTGTTTTCCAACTATAAGCTCCCGCTAACAGAACTTTACCATTTAGCTTTATCTACGTTAAAGATCGGGGGGGGGGGGGGGGGGGGGATTCAACATATTTTTAATTGAAAAGCTTTTTTTTATAAGAATAATCTATTAATTCTTATATTATAAAATATGAACTAAACCTTTCAAAACAGCTTTCCCTCTCCTTGCAAAATCAAGGAACTGACTGCTAGAGATATCACCACCAATAAGACTTCCCTGACACTCTAAAAATTCCCAGGTGATTGCTGTGTGCTCTATGCAAAGCCATGCTGTTGCCTGGGACAAGCGCACACTGTAAAGAAATGCCAGCATTCAACTCTCTTCCACCAAGGGTTTCCGGGCTGTGGCTTTCCACACGCACAGTAAAGCGGGCCACAAAAGCAAGCTGCTTGCAAGCAGCCTCGCGCTGCAGTCCGCCAGCTCTCAAGCCGCGACAGGGCGA